AAAAAGCTGCTTAGCTCCTCGCTCTCTTCTCCTCGCCGTTTTGGTTGATGAAGACTTCGAGCTCGCCGTGCGCGATCACGAAGAATGAGGTGCCAGGCTCTCCCTGTTTGATGACCTGAGCGCGATTTGGTTCACACGTGGCACTGGCCGAGCAAGGCAAGTCTGAAGCTACTCATTTGATTCATTTTATTCATTCTTTGCTTCTCAGACTTCTCCGTGGAAACTGCACGTCAATCGTTTGACAGTCTTGAACAGCCTGCCGGCGCTTCTGTTACCAGCGCTTGTCGGGTTACTGCCAAATGTTGCTTGCGCCTTACGCCTGACAGCTTGGAGAGAAAGTCACATCATACCAGCCGCGCGCTCGGCACCTGGACGCCTCTAACGCAATGCAGCTTCAGAATCATAGGTCCGGTTCGTGGAGCGAAGGGCGTTCAATGCTTTCACATGAAATGCATCACCACCTTCCCCGAGCGTTGCATAACCTCCAACAAGCTTCCAGCTTTGGCCAGCTCGCCCCCAAACTCAGCAAGGGGCGGTGTCACCCTTGGCATACTTCATAGTGACAAACCTTGGCATTGACATTTGTTCCTTGCAGCTGTTGCTGGCACACGATGCATGCTTTGCCCAGGGGCGATTCCACGATCTTCTTTGTCTGCTCTTCTGACATATGTCTGAAGATGTGCACCTGCAAAAGCCGCAGAATTCGTCACACGCTATGCACTTTAGCTGGGCCTTCTTTGCCAGCAGCATCTTGCGCGTGAAATCGGAGGCATCTTCTTCGTTGTTGGCCTCAGCAGTCTTACAGCCGGAACGTTGCAAAAGACCGCAAAGCGGCTCTCTGCTGCCTGGCCGCAATGGAGACCCCAAGGCCCTTCAATGCAGATGCCAGACCGTCCCGTGTCAGCATTGCTAACCTGAGGCCCAATCCATTAAAAAAGTAGTTGAGTCACGCGATCTCTGCACCCAGAAAGTCAATGCCCGTGCACGGCGAATGGCCGAGGACCCGAGGTCAACCAAACCCAGGTCGGCGGCAAGGCCACGTCAGCCAAGCGGCCGAGCACCACTGGGGCCGGACGTCAGGCTTTTGGTTTCGGTGGCAGTGCTGTGCAGCAGCGCCTCCGCAAACCGTGCGAGTCGATGCGAGATCCCTCCCAAAAAGCGAGTGTTGCAAGCTCTTGCCATTCATGTAAACCATGTGGCCCATAACGGCAGTTGAACCCATGTAAACCATGCGGCCCATAACGGCAGTGGAACCTTGTTGGACACATGCTAACCACATAACTGTTCATTCTGCAAACGCTTGAAGGCGCTCGGAATCTGCTTGGCAGAGATGTGCAGGGTGCAAGCGAGCGCCTCATCTTCCAGCCAATCGCGTCGCCCCAGGCTTATCTCCTTGTCCTGGGGAGTCTCAGAGTCAGCTCATGACTCGATTTCGGCTTGTTTCAGCGGCCTCGCCTTGTTCTTGCCGGACAAAGAGCCCTGCAGCACCACGACGAACCGTGCGCCCACCTCCACCTTGGGTCAACCAACCCGCAAGCCTCGCGAATCGCGTCGCTACCGTGGCCCGAATGCCGAATGGGGCCAACTGCCAAGGAGCTTGGGCATCGGGCGCGATGTCCTGGCTGCGAGCTTCGCAGCCCGAAGCGACCCGTGAACCGACCCGCCTTGACCACCACCCATTTCATGAGCTCGGCGCGCTGGGCGGCTGTGAACTGAGAGATCACGGGGCCTGAGAGGTGAGCTGTTTGAGCCATGTCTCGCAGTTGCGGCTGAGGGGCAATTCTTCAGGCCCTGCTGGATGGCGTTTCTCTCCAAAACCGCCGCCATGTCATCTCCCAAGATCACCTCTCAATGACTCAAGCGGCTTGGCCGCGAACATGGAACAACTCCATGGCCTTCAACTCCGAGATGCTCACGCACAAAAGCTCGGAGGATCCCTTGGAAACGATGGTGGTCGCAAACCTCAGGAGGCCCAAGTGCACAGCCGACACGCGAGCCCTGCGAGCAGGCGGCGGTTCTTTGGCAATCAGCTGGGCCTCGCCAAAACCGTCCTCCAGGGTATGAGATCCATGCCATATACATCTGGCAGCTAATGCATCATGACATGAATGCATGTGGACATATGCCATCGGACGGCATGGAAGCCCAGTCATTCTGGCCAAGGCTGCGAACTTGGGTGCCGCCCTCAAACTCGCCGGTGCTTTTGACCTCATGAGAGGACAGAGCCGCTTGGCCGCTTGGCCTGGTGAAAACAGCTGAGATGTTGACAGTGCCGCCGGAGAACTCTGTCAGCTCACCTGTGCGTTGACAAGCTCCGCAGGACATGAATTGAGCTCCTCGCCTTTTCGGACGAAGTAGATTGCTGCTTGCGGGTCCCCCTCTGTGACCACGCGGGCCTGCGGAAGGATCGCCGAGGCGTCAACACATTTGTGCCCGTGACAGGCCTTGTCATCAAACACCTCAGCGAAAGTGGCCTGTGCGGAGAATGTGTGAATGCATCTGCGCGGTCTGCGCGCTTGCTGCTTTTGCCCCCAGTCCCGAATATTGCATGTCAGAGCTGTTCGGAAGCTCGGGAACTAATTGTCTGAACTCCCCCCTGCAAGACACCCAGATTGATGCTGACAAGGTGGTTTCTTCTTCCATTTCGTTGAGAAAGCTTTGCAAGATCTTCCAAGGATGCTACCCCAAAGGTCAGGCAGCATGCAGAATCTAGCAAGGTCTTGGGAGGCCAACTCGCTTCAGGCAACACCTACGCAAGCCAAGCATTGCATCCTGAGGATCAGACATGAACTAGACACGACTACATCCGGTTGCACCGATTGCGCCAGTCACACTTTCAGAAACCTGCCTCAGCAATGCAAAGCTTCTGCTTCAAGGTCAGGCCCTCGAAAATGCTGGTGGAGTCCAAAAACTTCAAGGTCTCTGCCTACGCACGGCACGTCCAACAGCACCAAACTTGGCTTTTATCTCCCGTGACGAAGTCTGAAAGGCGCAGCTGGCAAGGGCTGCCTGGTGCTTGGTTGCGTTCTGCTGCAAACTCTGCTTGAAGGCAGCCCCGCTGGCCTGAGTAGCACTTGGACCTCGACCCCTGAATCCTCTCCCCGGCTATCCCATAACTTATGTACCTTATGACGCATCTCCCATCCGAATCCACTTCAACCCATCCGCCAAGCCGCGCCCCAGACCTCGCTTTCGGAGGTGGTTTTCACTGTGGCGGTGCGTGGGCAGTTGTACAGCAGCGCGAGCCCACCAAAGGCACATCCTGAAATCAACCCAATTTGATTTATGAGCGTTCAAAGAGATAATGCGTGGTCCTGGGCCGATGGTGTTGCAAACGATGCTTTTTACCTCAGCAACGTGAATCCGAATGCAGACCCGCAAGTAGTCCATGCATGCTTTGGTAGGGTGCGAATTTCCTTACCAAGTTGCGCTCACCTCCATCGAGCCAGACTGGGTTACAAAAAACCTGAGCACGAATCCATTTCTGAGACATGTCCACCCAAATGCGAATTCTGGCTTATACAACTTGCGCACGGTCTGCATCGTTTATCCCCAGGCATGAAAAGCCAAGCCGCGTGTTGCCAAGTCTGCCCTCCTGGATGATGGGGGTGCCCTTGTGAAACTTGTAGAACTGGCAGGCGGTGGACAAGGCTGAAGCTCACTCTTGCGTTCGCCTCCCTTGCTGCCTCGTACCCTACAGCGTGTCCTTTTCCCACGCAATGCCGGCTGTGGGCTGTTGTTTGAATGAGTTGCTCCTCTGGGTCGAGCTTTCTTCGGCTGTATTTTCCTCCTCCCTCTTAACCACACCATGAGAAAACGACGAAGGCTTGCTAGATTCCATGTTGGATGCTCAGGATTGGCTTGCGGGGCAGCGGCATCGAATCCAGAGTCATTTCCATTTCACGGGATGTGCCAAATGGCCTTTGGAAAGACATGGAGGAATGTTCTCAAGGAGTGAAGTCGCTCCAACTTCGCGGCCGCTGATCTGCCTTGACCGTGCTCAAGATCGACTCGATTTCTGCATCGTCGAGCCTCGGATCTCAGGTTTGCACCCGGAAATCCCCTCGTGCTGACCCCGTGAGGCCCCAGCGTCGCACACAGCCGGTCTTGCCTCATGGCGTTCTTCAGGAATTTCCGGGTTTCATCATCCTTAGTTGCGCGCTCTTGCAGAAGGCAAAAGCGCAACCGCAGCGCAACTAGGGTTGCAGCGATCTCTTTCTTCACCTGGACGACAAGAGATCCGAGCCCGTTTTCAAATCGTGGGACATGCCGTGGGACATGCCGCGTGCCTCAAATTGCTCGAGGTGCTCTTCAACGGGCGGCGGCTTTCGGGAGGTGCTCCTGAGTCTTCGGAATGCTGCCTGACACGCCTGTCACGCCTGTCACGCCTGTCTCCCATATGGCCAAGGCACCCAATGCGCTTTTGCGTGGCTTTTCTCGCATATTCCCGCTTCTTGTCCTCGATTCGAGTGGCCTTTCTCGGAAGCTGCATCTTGCAACATCCCGTCCTGCGGGAGGCTCATCATTTTGCCCAACCTCAGTGCGCAAATGAACTGGCTGAACACATGCGTGCAGGTTGCCGAGTATGGCCCAATGACCAATGTGCAGCTGTGGCACAGGTGGAGCCAGACTTAGGCAACTTAGGCAGGCTACGGCTTTGCAGCCTTTACTACGTGCTTGCGCTGCGCATGCTGGTTCAAACTGTCGTATGAGACGTGGGCTGGATGTGTATCACACCGGCAAGGAGATCATGAAACTGTCTGCTTGCATGGTTGATTTCTGAAAAGCTGTCTAGCCTATTAGCTGAGAGCTGTTTTGGGCTGGAACGCGGCCGCATCGTGCAGTGGCAAGGTATGGCAACACGTCCGCGTTTGAGGAAACCAAACACCTTGGGCCCAACAAAACCCGTCATGCCCATGCCAATCTTTACTCAAGCTGAGCTTTCAAACAACAGTGCACCTGGCAAATGCATGGTGCCTCACCTGGCAAATGCATGGTGCCTGTGACACTACCAGCGGATCCTCGCGAAAAACCAGGCCACCGCAAGGGATGCTGCATTCAGCCACCACCTGTGCAACTGAGTGGAACTTGCCCAACCGGCGGCATGCCACATACAACAAGCTTTCTCTCACGCGCCTTCTGGGTCCGTTTGACACCCGGCTTGGCAGCTGGGCGCTTGATGGCCCTGCGACGTGACGTATGGCACCAGAAACCCAACCCAAGCCCGCAAGACGTTTGATGCCTGCCCGGCCGGCGCAGGGGCATCGCCACGCGTCTTGTGTGGCATGGGGCCAGTCAAAATTATCCTGCTTGAGCCAGGCCTGGCATTAAAGCAGCCAAGTTGCCGCAAGCAAGCAGTAGAAGTGGCACCCAAAACCTACTTTGTGAATGGGGATGGCATGCATGGCATCTCACCTTTGGATGATGCTCAGTTGTTTGTTGGAGGTTGTGTAGGCCGCGAGAGAGGTTTAGTTGAGGTGCGGATGCCGACGTGATTGCAAGGCTTGGGAGCCGCTTCCAGCGCACGCACAGCATTAGGCAAGGCCCCTGTGAAAATCCCACCAGAGAGCGCTACTCCGGAAAGGGTACCAACATGTATCCATATGCGTGCCTCATCCTGTATATCTCTCTCTCTCCAATTATTGCGCTCTTGGCGGACAATAACTTGTAGGCTTGGGATTGCCACTGTGGGCTGCCCCTTGCGCCATATTGATTAGGTTAGTCTCCAACCTGCAGTGCCTGTCGGCATAGGGGACAAGTCAAGTCTGCGGTTTTGATGCCCAAATTCCCAAGAGCCTGCCGACCAAGCCTGGGCTCTTGCAAGTGCTCTTGCAGCATGCTTTCACAGTACCTGCTCTTCTCACCACGGAATGAACTCTTTCGGCGCCATTCATCATCTTGCCTTGATTCCAAGTGGGTCGCTCCGGTATGGGTTCGCTTTTATTTGTCCTCCGTATCGGTTGGGCGGTGACATGCGCCCCAAGTAGCAGTAGTAGCTGACGTGACCATGCGCGGGCTCTTGCACAAAGCTGTGTGCGCGTTGCAAGTCAGAAGCGGGTTGCCGGGGGGGGGGGGTTGCCCGACTTTCATGCTCCCCCGCACGTGCCAATCCTCAGCGTGTTTGCAGCTGTCAAGTGGGTGAGAGGGGAGGGGGTGGGGGATTTGGAGGGGATGGAAAGAACATGGGCCCATGTTTCAAACTATTCGATCCTGACCTCCCAGCCCCACACGCCATGCGACTCCTCCGAAATCTGTGCGGGCACCCTACGCGACTGGAGCTCCAACGCAGTCCTATTTGTTTAGTTGACACGCTGCCACTTTGATGCAGGTGGTTTTAGAAGTCTAAGTTTCAGATATCATGCATCGCGGGGTCCGATCCCTCCAAGGTTTAATATTCTGCATGGTCCCAGCTGTGGTTGCAGGCGGCGACTGCGTGCCATAGTTTAAGTGAGTGCAGCCCGGTGAGAAAATTAAGGACGCGGCGGTTGCCAAAGCGAGCTCTTGCCGCTTGGAAGTAGAAACTTGGTCCGCTTCTTACAAAACCACAAGAGGTGGAGTGTTGCTAGTACGAGGCGACCAATGTGTGGAGAGCGTGTCCGCGCTGCTTTGAAGACACAAGCTGGCTGCCCACCAGCTCTTCTTCGTGCAAATGAAAATGCTGCGCCTGCCAGCACCGCGCATTCGAATCAGAAATTCGAATACGCCAAGTTGGATATCTGCCATTTGCATAAGATTTGCGCAATTCCCAACCCACGTCCAACAGCGAGCGTCATTCGATCCGGGCAACCCCCCCCCCCGTCCCAGCACGCTGAGCAATTAATTGGAGGCTAATGAGTTGGCTGGTGGTTGGCTATCGGTATCGGCCCAGGCCCTGCTAATTCATGACTCTGCAATCAGGTCTAGGATGGTCTAGGGATATTGTGCTTTCCTCCTTGTCTGTTTGCGTTCCAGACCCGCAAGTGGCAATGCATGACCATTTTGGACACAGCATCTCACTATCATCTGACTCTGGCGCGGCAAAAAAAACTCGTGAAACGAGCGTGCCCAATTTATGGGTCAGCTCAGGCCGCTCCCCGGTTTTGGCTTACAAAACGCGCATCGAAGGCTCGGAACTCTTGAATCTGCGGGTCGATGATTGCAGGCCCGCCCTCATCCAGAATGAACCTGACAAAGCAACACCATGCAACACCTGTTGCACAACATGGCGACTCACAGGCGCTTGCTGGCAAGTTGCTTGAATATCTTCAGACGGTCTTCTTCGCTGCCTCACGGGGCTTCACACCAACGATTGCATCTGTTGAATCGCATGATCAGCCAACTGCATGTCAGGATGCTTGCTTTGATCTCCGTGCACGTAGTTGTGGAATCCTGGGCTGCAATTTGGGAACGGTGCCACAAATTCAAGCATATTAGTAACTGTGATTCGGGCACGAGCCTGTGCCCAGGCAATGGGTAAGTTGGGGTAAACAAGCCACAAAAGAAAGGTTCCCCAAAAGCAAACCAATCCCCGGTCCCAAAGATCAGGGTTTCCCACACACCAGAGAACAACAACCAAAGGGAAACAAACCAAAAGAGAAAAGGGTTAACCCGCAACCTTGATCGACAACAGGCCGCACGACTGGTCCCTACCAACCTGGCGGCGGCCCGAGGTCTCTTTCTCCCCCGAGATGCCGTCGGTCGACGCAGGGGTTCGGCGACGCCCGTTCGAGGCGCGACGGAACCCATTAACTTGAGCCAAACACCACCGGTCAGTCACTATCGCGACATCCCTGGTGATGGTTTAAGACATGGCTAATCACACCCCCCTCACGAGGAGCCCGTCATATGACGGGTGGAGCGTGCCATTTACTGATAGGATTTAACTGCTCGCGTGTATCCGCAAACAGCTGGACACTACCGCCGTCAGCGGTGGAGCAAACCCACAAAGGCAGTTGCGCGACGTCCCGGGCATTAAAATCCCGCCACCACCCCGAAATAATCGGGGTAACGCTGTCCAACATACCTCGTGGACAAGTCCACATGACTGCACTAGGCCACAACTGTTTGCATCAACAATGCAAGTAGTTCAATTCTTATCAGAAGCCATGAAACAAAGGATAACGTATGTTCATCAGTACCCTTGCCTATCGGCAAGAGGTACCCCTGACCATGCGCACCTGAAAAATACTTGAATTTCGCAAACCCGGGAGTATCCCCCCATCAGTTTGCTTCCCCTCTCACTCACACAACTTCATGGTGAGCACGACCAGCAGCCAAGCAGCGGTACGGGAGAGACACGATCTCCGCGCCTCAGCGGTTCGGGAGGAACATCATCACCTCCCCACCGCGCCAACCATCGGAGAATGGACGCAAGCCTATCGGCCGCAATCCTCGTGACTCAGCCTACCGGCTATCGTCACGTCTCCTCCGGTCACGTCCGCCCCGCGCACGATCCCTATCACGATCTCTCTCGGATCTCCTGCGATCATCTCGCCTTCGATCCCGCTCCCGATCGTGTGATTCATCATCACGACGATCTCGAGCATCGTCCCTCCTCCGGTCACGATCTTCGTCGCGCCGCGGACGATATCTGCGCCTTCTTGATTCTCGGGAACCCCTGGTGTCCACTGTCCTAACGGACCTCCGAGAAGGAGTACGGGACACATCTGAATCTCGACGTCCTCTCCCGAGGCGAGAGTTCGACACTATCTGGTTAAGAGCCTCCAGCGCCGAAGCACTCTCACCATTCCTGATGAAATCCCTGACCTGCTTATTCAGCGCCTATCGGGTGACATCGTCAGGAAAGCGTTCACCACCGAACTCTCCGGCAACACCAGGAAGTGACCCTCCACCGAGCTCGCAGCTGCTCGCTCCGCCGACTGCAACCTGATCTCACCCCCTTCAGGCTTCTTTGCCATCGCCTTGGAGGCCGTCAAAGGCGCTACCGCGTCCTTTGCCGAAGACCTGCCAAGCGCGGAGTGAAGATCATCTCCACTAGCTTCTCTCGCTGCCGCACCTGGTCTGCTGTCGACGTCATCAGGCCTTGTTGACGCCTCCCGCTTTGTCGACTCCTTCACAGTCTCGTCAGGATCCCACCGGGACTTCCTTTCTCTCTTCTGCCCTTCAGCCGACCCCCGACTACCGCCAGGAGCGTCGTCTCCGCCTACCTTCTCCTTCTTGACCTCAACCTTCGGTTCGGCCTGCTTCGTGTCCTTAGCCTCAGCCTTCGGAGCCGGAGCACTCTTCGCCTCAGACACTGAAGCTGCCTTTCCCTTTGGCTCGGCCTTTGGAACCGGGGTCATCTTAGCCTTCGCACTCGGCCGGGCTCCTTCAACCGCTATCGCGACCCAAGTCTTCTTCGGCTGAGCCGCAGTTGCATCAACCTCCATCGGAGCCGGCCCAGCATCAGCCTTTGCTTTTGCCTGTGGGACAGATGGACTATCGCCCTTACCAGATCCTTTTCCTGGCACTTCACCTGACTTTGGTGGTGGGCCGGAAGGACTACCGCCCTTACCGCCCTTTTCTCCCTTCTTCCCTTTTCCTTTTCCGCCCTTGACGATCGGCTCCTGCTTAGGACCAGGGCCCTGCGCAGTATGATGCACCGATTGAAGCCCTTCGATGTTCACGTCCAAAGGCTCCGGTTGACGACCATCAAGAACCGTCCTCACCCTTTCGTCACTAACGTAGACGAATGGGTCACGGAAGGGGGCGGGAGGCTCCGACTGCCCGGCACTGATTGCCTTCTGCACCTTGGCTATCGCCTCCCTCAATCTCTTCTTCTCATCATATCCTGTCTCCGATACCATGTGCTTCCTGAGATCCGCTATCAACGCATGACTGGCCAGGATGTCCACGTCTTTCCGATGGGTCGGATACAATGGAGTCAGATGCCCCGCCGCGGAGCCAATCACATACGCCATCGGGATAGAAGGACAAGTATGTGTCGAGCGAACTTCCTAACGGAAGTCGTCATACGCCTACCCCACTGAGCTGCATGCACCGGGTTGGCTCGGAAGTACTCAGTGACCGAATCAAATCTATCGACTTGATTGGTCTTTATAAGGTGCTTCGCCACCCACTTCTCCACGAACGCATCCGAGGCCGAAATCCCCAACACATAGGAGAATTGGAAGAGCACGTATCGACTCCTCCCTTATCCTCACCAAGATAAGGGGGCAGTCTGATGCTGCTCTGCACCGTCATCCTCAGGTCAGACGCCATTGAATAGGAAATCAAGTTCCTCTTGATAACTCCGACCACTTCAGACAGGATCCTCTTGGGCTTGAACTGCCTCATGCTCCTCACCCACTCCGGGATGATGTGGCACCTCTCGAAGTCACTTTCGTCCGCGTTGGGGATGAAGTTCGGGTAGAAGACCGGGAGCGCACACCCAGGGCACAGATGCATCCCATTGGGCGTCATCTCCGCGCACCTCAAACAGAAGGTGGTGGTCACATTCAACCTGACCTCTCCACGCGATCGCTTGTGCTCCCCCCTATCGGGGGTAAGGTCACCATAGTCCCATGCCCGATGATACACTATCGTGTAGTCATCGTACATGTACGCTGCCTTCCAAGCGCCCATGTGGATCTCGTTCCGAACGGCAAGGGTCTTTCTCCTCCTCGTCAGAAACACGGGTCCAACCAACGACCAGTGCACCCGAAGGTCCACGATTACCACCACGTACCTTCCCGAGTAGTTCCGCAGCCTGTCCCTGACGTACCACGATGGCGATACCTCGGCGTTCGGCGCCATGGTTTCCACAATCGGAACTTGGCCCTCATCCTGCCTTCCATCCCCAATGGATTCGTACACATCGGGCCTCGTGATCAATATCTCGATCATGGCCTTTCCGTTTCGCCTCACCTTTTGGAGCTGAACCGCCTTCCTAAAGTCCAAGAACTTCATGACGACGTACCCCACCATAGGGAGTTCATTCCAGTGCATCTCGTACATCAGAGATCCTCCAGGTGCTTGGGTTTACCTTTGCCTAACGGCGCTGTAACTCATGTCACGTCCGATCCGCGTGTACCTAACGGCCACTAACCGAGTGCACTCCCCGAGGAGGACACCATTCCCATTGTACATGATCATGAGCATTGTCTCAACTTGCCCTACCGGGAAAGCTTTGACCGTCGGAATGAAGAACTTCCACGACATCTCGGCGTTCTCCATGCCCGTGATCTCTCTCAGGAACCAGATGGCCTGGTCACTACTCACCCAGTTTCCAGCCTCACGTCCAGTTTCCCTCAGTACCCGTTCCTCGAATAACTCCGACACTTTCTTCGAGTTGATGACCAGACCTTGAGAGCAGCTTCATCAACTCCTGAGCCGCCTCCCGCCCTGCAACGGTGCCCGCGCTCTCCTCGTAGTTCGGGACGTACTCGCTCAACCTTGTCTTTGAGGGAATCACAATCTGGCATGTGGCGGCCTCATCAGGAATAACTCCAGTATTCCTTAGATCCGGATTGATCTCCTGCCTATCGGCAAGATAATCTTTCCTTCCGTCTAGGACCACAAGATTGTAGGTCATCTTGCTTGCCGCCTCACTCGTGCGGAACCTTCTGCTTTCATCAACCTGATCGGGAGCAAAGGGTCCACTGGGAGCAGCTGCACTCACCATCGGCGCTCCTCGCCCAGAGCACAGGTGCTTCTTGTGAAAGTTCACCATCTCATTCAGCTGCGACAGGGCATAAGCTCGATCCTCCAATGACGCACTCTTCATCCCAGCCTCAGTAAGAGGAGCCTCAGGCTTGTCATAACTCGCCTTTCCGCCCCATCTCGCCGCGACCAGCTCAGCAGACTTTGCAGGATCAATCAGATTGCCCGACCATTCGGGCATATTGCTCAACCTCCTAGTCAACGCGTCTATCGACGCAGCCAAGTCTTCATCCGTCACGGTGTGAGGGTCGACCTTCTCCCTGTCCTCCTGACCCACGTCAGGAAGCCTAAAGTCCCCGCGGATGGCCTCCATCGCGGCCTTCTCAGCTTCCTCAGCCTCCGCTTGCGTGGCCACGGCCCTGGGGATCAAGAGCGCTGCCTCAGCAGGCAACGACTTCTCCATGTCAATCGGAGTGTTCTTGGGAAGGATCCTTCTATCATCTCCCTCCCCGCTGTACACATAGTCTGGAGCAGTCTTGCGGTACTCCTCAAAGGTAGCGCCTTTGAAGTTGGTAACCTCGCTCGGGTCTGCCTTCCCAGCCTCAGTACCCCGAGGCTTAGGCTCGCCCGTTCCAGCAGGATCCTTCTTGGAGCCTTCCTGATCCACCTCCATGTCGTCTTTCTTCTTCTCCGTCATGGAAAGTTTCCCAATGTCAGGAAGTGTCACATCATCGTCCTTTCCTGACCCGGCACCCCTATCGGGGGCCGGCTCGGTCCTCGGTTGCCCC